AATTTAGTTTATTAATGTTAAATTTCTTTTTATTTAATTATCAGATTTTCATGACGCATATCCCGAATTTGACTGGTTAACCTGGTTTCGCAGGTTAACTAAGTTAATTCTTGGTTAACCCATCAACTTTTTTTTTTCTATTTAGCTATCAAACTTTCATGACATGAATCCCGAGTTTAAAATGTTAACTTGGTTTAACAAGTTAACTCAAATTTTTTTTTATTGTTTTTTTATTTTTTATTTTTTTTTTGTTTATTTTAATTTGTTAATGTTAAATTTTTTTTATTTAGTTATCAGACTTTCATGACATATATCTTAGGTTTCACGGGTTAGCCCGTCAATTTTTTTCCATTTAGTTATCAAAACCCACATCCAAGGCTCTTGGATCTGGTGTTGTAGTCAGACTCACTTAAACTTGAGTCATGTAAGTTTAATATTATTATTAATATTATAAATATTACTCTTGGATCAAGTGTTGTAGTCAGACCCAAGATTTTTGGGTATATCTTTGCAGAAAGACCTAACACTCTTAGATCTTAACCTTTTTATATTTTTTATGCAAGAAAAAAAATTAACTCATAGGTATGCCTTTTCTTTTTTTCCCTTTTCTTTTCCTTTTTAAGGCTTTTACTGTGGACTGCACAGTGCAATCCACAGTGAAAAAGTTGATGCTTTTAGTTTTTTTCTAGCTTTTTTATTTTTTAATTATTTTTTAATTTACTTTCTTAATATTAAATTTTTTTATTTAATTATCAGACTTTTATGACACGGATCTCGGGTATTGATCTCGGGTTTAATAGGTTAACTTCGTTTCACGAGTTAACCTGGATTTTTTTTCTTTTTAATTAATTTTATTTATTTATTTAAGTTTGTTAATGTTAAATTTCTTTCTATTTAGTTATCAAATTTTAATGACACATATTCTTGGTCTGACGAGTTAACCTGGTTTTACGGGTTAATCCAGTTAATTCTGGGTTAACCCATCCATTTTTTTTTGTTTTTTTTTGTTAATGTTAAATTTCTTTCTATTTACTTATCAGATTTTCATAACGCATATCCCGAATTTGACTGGTTAACCTGGTTTTGCGAGTTAACTGAGTTAATTCTTGGTTAACCCATCAACTTTTTTTTTTCTATTTAGTTATCAAACTTTCATGACATGAATCCCAAGTTTGATGGGTTAATCTAGTTTAAAGGATTAACTCAGTTAATTCAAATTTTTTTCATTTTTCTTCATGTTGATTTTTTTTTGTTTTTTTGTTTTTATTTAATTATCACGTTTTTATGATACAATCTTGCAGCCAAACCCACATCCAAGACTCTTAAATTTGGTATTACAGTCAGACTCACTTAAACTTGAGTTATGTAAGTTTAATTTTATTATTAATATTATAAATATTACTCTTAGATCAAGCACTGCAGTTAGACCTAAGACTTTTAGATCTTAACTTTTTTATGTTTTCTATGCAAGGAAAAAAATTAAATCATGGGTATGCCTTTTTTTTTTCTTTTTCTTTTTAAGTCTTTTTCTTAGATCTTAGTCTTTTTATATTTTTTATACAAGAAAAAAATTTAACTCATAGGTATGCCTTTGTTTTTTTTCCCATTTCTTTTCCTTTTTAAGGCTTTTACTGTGAACTGCACAGTGCAATCCATAATGAAAAAGTTGATGCTTTTAGTTTTTTTTTTCTTTTTTTTTTAATTATTTTTTTAATTTACTTTCTTAATATTAAATTTTTTTATTTAATTATTAGACTTTTATGATACGGATCTCGGGTTTAATGGGTTAGCCTAGTTAATTTTGGGGTAACTTGTCAAATTGTTTTTCTATTTAATTATCAAATTTTCACGACACAAATCTAATGTGTTAACGGGTTAACCTGATTTGAAGAGTTAACCCAGTTAATTCAGATTTTTTTTCTTTTTCTTCATTAGTTATTTTCTTCATGTTAGTTTTTTTCTATGTTTGTTTTTTTTTACTTAATCTATTTAATTATCACACTTTTATTATACAACATTAAAGCCAGACTCACATCCAAGATTATTAGGTCTGGTATTGCAACCAAACCTACTTAAACTTCGATTATGAAAGTTTAATATTATTATTAATATTATAAATATTACTCTTGGGTTAGATGTTGCAGTCAAAATCAAGACTTTTGGGTATAGTTTTGCAGAAAGACCTAACACTTTATATTTTTTATATAAAAAAAATTAACTCGCAGCATCGCGCGGGTCATCTAACTAATAGATTTTTATATATATTTTTTATGTAAAAAAAAATTAACTCACGGCATCGCGCGGGTCATCTAACTAATAAACTCTAAAAACAAAGCCAGCTCATTTTACCTATCAAAAGCATAATTATAGTTTCAAGAATTTATTTGAAATTGTAACAATGATAACAATTTAAAATATTTTTTATTTATAAATATATTAAAATATTTTTTAAAAATTATTTTTAAAATTAGTCTATCAAAAACAATCTAAAAATATATAAAATATATATTTTAAATAAAAAAATTTAAAATTTTTAAAAATATAATTTACACTACTACACTCTCCAAATCTTTTAACTTTTATTATAATTATAATGTTAGTCCCTTGATTTTAATTCAAAGTGATTGAATACCGTGCCCTGACCGGAAGATAACACTTGAATGCCAAATAATAAACAAAACCAATTTTTTAAAAAATAAATAAGCATTAATAAACCAAACCAATTTTTTGAAAATAAATAAATAAACAAAGGAACGAGACCCGGATTGAATATCAAGAAGTGGAAATCTTGTATGAAGCACTGGTGAATAACTAGGGCATTTGGGATCAAGAATATTATCGATACAAATAACATGGACTAAAATTAAGCTTTACTATCTCCTCCTTCGCAGTCTCAGTAGCTGAAATTTTTGTTAGCTGAATGGATGATGGACTCCAGGTAAAGCCAGATACACGGCAAATGCAATGACTACGACGGCCACGGACAGCGAGAGTATATACAAGCAGGGAGGTGTTCCAAAGCTCACATAACCAAAAAATGTAGAAGAATATGGAACATATTAATCATCTACTGCTAGCTAATCTTCTCAACCATTTATAGCCATCTCCATTATCACATCATTCCAGTAGTCAATAGGCCCAGGTAAACACCAATGTAAACAATCATTCTGAACTTTCGCATTTTTGTCCTGCGCGAATGGATGAAACTGCCTGTA